CAGCTCCACTGCTGGGGCCTCTCCTGACGCTCCTCACGCGCACACCACGTCCTCCGCCACGTCTGGAATCGGCCCCTCGCTGAGCCAGCTTCTGCCTGGGGGTCACAGCCTCCCCTCCCGCCTCACCTCCCGGGGCCTGACCTTGGTGCCACCTGGCCTGGGCCTCCAATACGCCAGCCTGGGCCCGACCCCAGGGCCTTGGCACGGCTGTGCCCTCTGCTGACCTGGCAGCACCCGGCTGTGCCCCACGCAGCCCTGCTCACTGAGTGTCCCCTGGACTTTGTGAGTCTCCTTGTGGGACATGCTCAGCTGCAGCGGGTCGTCCATCGCCACTGTCCCTCCCTTTGCAGGTCGTGATGATTCTTGGAAAAGGGAGCCAGGGAGAGGCCAGCCCGGTTCTCTGAGCTTTGGCCCATGTGGCTGGGAGGGAGTCGGCTCCCCTGCACAGCTGGCCGCGCAGCGCCCGGGCATGACCCCATCTCTGGGCTGCCCGGCCTTCCTGATCCCGGAGCGCAGCGGCCACGGGACGGCACATTCGGGGCAGCCTCCTGCTTGTGCCTCTGCCCTCACAGGGCGGTCACCTGCTTGTGCCTCTGCCCTCACAGGGCGGTCACCTGCTTGGAGCCGGGTCAGCTGACACTTTTCACCAACAGCGTCCAGCACCACCGTGGCCTCAGCCTTGCCCCCTCCCGACGCCTGCCCCCCTCCCCACCCGCACTTCGGCCCGCCTCCCCGAGCGGCTCTTATCTGATCCCAGGTAGTCGGATTCCAGAAACTTCCACCTGTGGCCTCCTGTGTTCAGCCCACAGTGGCCACAGCCCAAGCAGGCAGCCGGCATCTCCCTGTCCCATACACAGGCGCACACCCACGGCACAGCCGCACGCACAGCCACGGCACAGCCACGGCACAGCGACAGCACAGCCACAGCACACCCACACGCACAGCCGCACGCACACCCACACCCACAGCACACTCACAGCACACCCACAGCACACCCACGGCACAGCCGCACGCACAGCCACACGCACAGCCACGGCACAGCCACAGCACAGCCACAGCACAGCCACAGCACACCCACAGCACACTCACAGCACAACCGCACACACACCCACAGCACACTCACACACATTGCTGCACACACACCCACAGCACACCCACACGCACAGCCGCATGCACACCCACACCACACTCACAGCACAACCGCACGCACACTCTCAGCACACCCACACGCACACCCACATGCACAGCGGCACGCACACCCACAGCACAGCCGCACACACGCCCACAGCACGACCACACGCACAGCCGCACACACAGCCGCACGCACAGCCACACGCACACCCACAGCACAGCCACAGCACACTCAGCACAGCCACACGCACACCCACACGCACACCCGCATGCACAACCACACACACAGCCGCATGCACGCCCACATGCACAGCCGCACGCACACCCACACGCACACCCGCATGCACAACCACACACACAGCCGCATGCACGCCCACATGCACAGCCGCACGCACACCCACACGCACACCCACAGCACAGCCACACGCACACCCACAGCACAGTCACAGCACACTCACAGCACAATCGCACGCACACCCACACGCACACCTGCATGCACAACCACACACACAGCCACATGCACAGCCGCATGCACGCCCACAGCACGCCCACACGCACAGCTGCACGCACTGCCACACGCACACCCACAGCACAGCCACATACACACCCACACGCACACCCGCATGCACAACCACACACACAGCCGCATGCACAGCCGCACGCACGCCCACAGCACACCCACATGCACAGCTGCACGCACGGCTGCACACCACCAAACACACCAACATGAGACCCCCCAGAAGCACCATCCCAACCACATGAGGCACAGCCGCCACACGATGCCGGGACCCACGGTGCCCAGACGCACGGCCACGTGTCACACAGACTCGACTGCACCAGCCACACAGAATCACACGCACAGCTCCACATGGGGCCTCACGGTCACACGCAGCCAGCCAGGGCCGCTGGCCAGCAGGGTGGGGCCAGTGGCCTGGGCAGCGCGAGGTCAAGGCCCCGTCCTCAGTGCCCCAAGCTGTGCCCGGTCAGGGACGGGGATCACTCAGCGTCCAGAGCTGGGCCCCTGCGGCGCCTCTCCTGGGGCCAGGCCAGGCCCCAGCCCTCACCTCCTGGGCACGCCCCCGGGCCCCTCAGCCCCAGGTGGACACTGACTTGGGACGTTGGTGGAGCCGGGAGCCCTGTCTGCAGGCTCTGACCACATCCTCCTCAGGGCCACCCCGTCTCTGGCACCTTCACCCTGCGGCATCTGACCCAGCCCTGGCGGGGCGGGCGTGGGGCCAGGGCTGGGTCAGAGCCAGCCTGGGCCTCCTCCAGAGCCCCCGGCTCCGGACGCTGCTGGGCCACCCACCTGCTCTGGGCACCTTTGTGGGTAGAGGACCCGAAAGCTGGGCGCGGTAGAGAGGCCTGGGAGTCCTGCCCCCTCTACACGGTCCTCCCTGACCAGGGCCCCATGGCCGGTCACCCGCAACCCTGACCAGCCCACGACCCCTGTGCAGCCTGCACGCTCTGGCCAGCGCAGCCCTGGTGTCCCCCGCGGCCAGGGCAGCCGACTCACCCACGCTCAGGCCGAGGATGCACTGCAGTCCAGCCCAGCAGGTGCGGCCGACTGGGCCAGCGGGCGGCTCTGGCAGGCTCCGCCCCCTCCTCCCACCTGACCCCGGCCAAGCCCCTTCCCTGAGGAGCCAACTCCCTGGGTCAGGCTCTGCCAGGGGAGTCCTGCCGCCCTGGATCCCACAGGAGCTGGGCCAAGGTCAGAGGTGGCCACAGGCAAGAGGGTGTCTGTCTCTGGTCTGTCGGCTGCTGCGCGGCCACCCAAGCAGGCCCAGTAGACAGGGCGGGAGGGGTGCTCCTGAGGGCTCAGGGTGTCCCCAGGAAGCAGGGGCACTGAGGGACAGGGATGTGCAGGAATCAGGTACAGCCATGCTTCTCTTGCACTGGGGTTGAGCCTGGGAACACTCGAGGACACACCAAGTTGTTGAGGCTGGCCTCAGTTGTGATCCTCCCACCTCAGCCTCCAGACCTGTGGGACGACAGGTGTGCACCGTGGCACTGACCACATTCACCCTGTATTCACAAGGCTCACTTTCCTGGGTCCCACAGGACATCAGTGCTCACGCCCCCTTGGCTCCTCTGGGCGGTGGTCACTTCTCAGACTGTCCTTGCTTCTGGGACCTTGGACATTTGGGGCTGTCAGGAGCCTGGTGTGGCCCTGCATTGGGACTTGCCTGGTAGTCTCCTCAGGACGGACGGCACAGTGCCACTGCCACCTGGCTCTGTCTCCTGTTGGTCCCTGGGCACTGTCCCCCCCCCCCGCCCCCCTGCTCTTGGGGACAGGCTCTGGTCTCGGGCTGTGCTGGGGTTTGTTGGAGCCGCCTTCAGGTTGCCGTAGCACACATCTGTGACCTACAAGGTGACCCTGCAGCCATGATGCCGTCCAGCAGGTCGGCAGGTGGTGCCACCTTCCACTCCCCCTGCCCTCACGCCCCTCCCCCACCAGCAGGTCGGGCACCATGTCCTGGCTCTGGCCCAACTCCTGGGCCAGGCTCCCGGCTGCTGGTGCTGGACAGGAGCATGGCCCTGTCCTGGGACGACCCTGTCCCTGGACGACTGGACAGCTGTGCCAGGAGCAGCTGCAACCCCAGGAGCTGGCCACGTAGCTCAGGCGGCAGGACGCCCAGCAGGGGCCCTTCCTCTCCCCAGAACCCAGGCAGGCCCTGGCTGCCTAATGACATCTCATAGTCCCCCTGCCCACTGTGCCCCGGGGACCTGCCACCACTCCAGCTGGGCCCCCAGGGACTGGAAGACTCCTCCAGGGTCCCCCAGGCCCTTTCCTAATGCTGCCCTCAAGACCAGCAGGGTCCTCCCCCAAGTGACCCCAAGTCCTCTGAGCCAACTGACACCCTGCCCCGTCACGCAGGCTGCAGGACGCCACCGGGGGCAGCTCTGGGCCTCGGGGGCACGTGCAGCGTTTTCTGTCCCCAGCACACGCGGGTGCTCGGCCACGGCTGGTGGTGTTGGGGAAACAGGTGGGGACGGTGGACAGGTGGCTGTGTGGATGGAGACTTGGGTGCACAGTGGGGACAGGCAGCTGTCCCTCCTGCGGGCTTTCCCCTCACAGGCCCCGCTGGCCGGCCACCCCCACTGTGCCGTGGCTCCCTGGGTCCCCAAGCTCCTGCCCCACAGGTCTCCAGGCACCAGTGACCACCATTCCTGAGCGGAGCGGGGGCCAGGCCCCTCAGCTGCTGTGCCTGCCGGAGGGCAGGGGACAGGCTGGGCAACCCACTCAGGACCAGCGTGGCCCTTCTCACAGGCACGACAGCCACTGTGGAGGACTTGCACGCGGCCTGGATGCCTCAGCAGACTCCGCGGTGTGGGGGTGCCACCGGCCACCGGCTCACACTGGCAGCCATGCCGCCCTGGGGACCTCAGGAGGCCACCTTCTGCAGGGCAGGGCCTGAGCCTCACCTGGCACCCCTGTGTCCGAGTCCCGGGGGCACAGTTGTGTCACGCTGCCCAAGGGGGCCGACACTGGCAGAGCTGGCGCCCACTGGCGGCACCCCCTCCCACGGGCAGAAGGGCCTGGAGGCAGGTGGCCTGGCGAGGGTCGGGGCTCTCGCTGCCCGTGCCCAGGTCCCCGTGTTTTCAGGACAACGTGGTCTTGGTCTGAAGGTCGGAAGACACTTGTGACCGTGAAGATGCCCCAGGACACATCCCAGGTCCTGTGTCCCTCAGCGTGGGTCACGTGGGGACAGCCGCAGCCACGCGGGGGGCCCTGACTCGACTCCCCTTAGGGCGCGGTCATGGCGGGCGAAGTCCAGGGCCCCTGTACCTGCGCAGTGCTCTGGACACAGCAGTGAACACGGCCACCTCCTGCCCGCAGCTCACCACCCCACAGCAGGGCCAGGGGCAGATACCAAAAGCGACGTTTAATCCTCAGTCAACAGAAGCAAGGCCACCCTGAGTGGCGCTTGCCTGGGAAGTCCACCTGGTCCACCCCGGCCTGAGCACGTGGCCCTGACCCGCCCCGGGCGGCTCAGGGTGCAGTCTGAGTGCAGATGCGGCCGCCTGCCCCGGGGTCCCGCCCAGCACCTCGGCGTCCAGGGAGCCGCTGCTCTTGGCCAAGCCCGCCCCTCCAGGACAGCAGTGGCCGAGAGGCGGAGAGGCGCGGCGGGGGCTTTCAGGGGGGGCCACCCTCGTCCTCTCCCTGGAGGCAGACGCGCTCGCCGTCTGCAGTGCCGGCCCATCTGCCCTGGGCAGGGGCCGCGTGGGCACGCGTGCAGGCTGCAGGACGCCAGGCTCCTCGCCTTCCTGGCCTGCGGTGGGGACGTGCAGCGAGACGCAGGTCCAGCGGCCACACCTGGGCCAGCTCCAGCTCAGGCCCCTGTCAGTCGATGAGGTAGAGGGCAGAAGGCCAGCTCTGGGTCACCCTCGCACCTTCCAGAAGCCCCTCCACAGAGGAGGTGCCAGGTGCCACGCTGCCACATGACCCGTGAAGACTGGGCCCTTGGCCAGTCCCACTCCCCAGCTCCAGGACGCTGGTGCCCGGCCTGCTCCATGGGGCAGACTCGCATGCCACCGGCTGAGGGCCCTGCTGGGGACCGCTGCCTTCACCCAAGCCTGGCTCACCACCCCAACCCCATGGGCCCCGCCCTCAGGCCCCTGTCCCTCGGGCCTCGGCTGGAGCCCCTGGATGCGGCTGCTTCCTGCCCCGGGGGCCACGGCTCCCGGCACCTGGTCCAGGGGTCTCAGGAGTCAGCCAGTCAAAGCAGTCCTGTAGGGAGGGCCCCGGGCAGCAGGAGGGAAGCACCAAACGCAGGGACCTGGGCAGCGCCCACTGGGCTCCAGAGAGCACAAGCAACCCTCGTGGAACCAGGAGGAGGACCCAAAGGAAGACTGCAGGGCTGGCAGGCAGGGCAGCCAAGCAGGCAGAGCCGCTGGAGAGGGCCGGGGTGCGGCTGCAGCGGGGGCAGGCGGGGGGCCGCGGGAACCTCGCCGGGCACTGAGCACCATGTAGGAGAGGGGCCCGGCACAGGCCTTGTCCAGGGGGCGGTGGCACCCACGTCTGCTGCAGACACGGGCAGCCCCAGCATCTTGACGTGACGTGGCGGCCGCCAGGGTCCAGAGCGCGCACCTTCTCCCTAGGCCAAGGTCCCCGGCTGGGCTGTGGGGCTGGGCTGGGCCAGGCCCGTGGATTCTGGGGTGCTGCTGTCCGGGGTCTGGGGCTCCTGGGCAGGGGCTGCTGCCCCCGTCTCCTCAGGTGTGGACGGTTCCTGGGGCTTCTCAGGGGGCACAGGGGACCTGACTGGTTCTTGGCTGGCAGACTGTGGGGACAGCGGGGCGTCTGAGTCCTTCGGAGGCTGTGGACAGTCGGCAGGAGCCGGTGCCCACTGGGTCTGAGGTAGGTCTTTCTGCGGAAGAGAGGTGTTTGATGAGAGGGACAGGCACCCCTGTCCCGTGGCAGGGATAGCAAACCCCTGAGGCCCACGGATCAGAGAGTAGTGCAGGGGGTCAGCAGAGTGGCCATCCCCAAAGGTCCAGGTGCAGTGCACAGGAGGCCCTCAGTGGAGGGCTAGGGTGCTGGGAGCACAGGTGACAGCCCTGCCCACCAGCACAGGGGCTGCAGGAGCCACCACAGCTCCTGGGTCCAGGGCAAATGGCCGCAGAGCCTTTGGGGACCTCTGGGCCCAGCCTCAGCCCGAGGCCAGGCCTGCCCCCGACCCTCCAGGGACCCACCCACTCACTCTGGGGGCAAGGCCGACCCTGGGACAGCCCCTGCAGGGTGCGGGCCCCAGCGCCAAGCCCCGGTGCCAGCCGAGGGTCAGTGGGTGGCAGGACTGGCCTGCTCTTGCCCCAGGGGTGCCCGACACAAGGCACACGCCCTGTGAGCGGCCACGGACACTCAGCGCCTGGCCCCCCAGGGCAGGCGCCCACCGGGCCCGTCCTCGGTGGCAGAAGCGGAGCCCAGCGCCCCGCACAGGCAGCGCTGGGCTTGAAGGCGGCCCTGGCAGAGGGCGCGTCAGCACGGGCAGCAGCGCAGCCTCAGCTGTGCCCAGGCCACACGGGCACGCCCAGAGCGAGCCCTTGCAGGAGCGGGACCCCACCAGGGGCCCGGTGGAGCAGGGGTCTCACTCAACTGTGGCCAGTGAGGGCTTGGGGCGGACTCCGCAGAGTCAGAGCAAACCCGTATTCACCGCAAAGCCGCTGCCCGTCCAGAAGGCGCCCAGCTCCCGGCGCCACAGCGCCACCAGGCAGCTCGTCACCAGAGTGCAGGGCACCAGGTAGAGGAGGGCGGGCTGGCCACGCTGCATGAGTGCCAGTGCCACGAACGTCACCAGGAGGCCAATGCCATAGGCTGCAGGGACAGACGGGGCGTCACCTGGGCCTGGCCAGGGTCCCTCCTGCCCCTCCCGGGAACATGCTGGGCAGGGGCAGAACCAGAGAGCAAGGCCGCGAGGGCCCTGAGGTGGCGCTGCGGGCAGCAGGGTCTGGCTGCTCCGGGTGGGTGTGAAGAGCGGCTGCGAGGGGCTGCCTCCCTGGAGCAGGAGGGCACAGTAGGCGCCCGAGAAGTCCACACGTGAGCAGAGGCAGGACAGCACTGCAAGGTGCAGCCCAGCCTGGGGACAGTCACACTCACGGCACACGGCACCTCGTGTGAGGGCTCTGTGGCACAGCAGGCAGAGGGGACCCAGGAAGAAAGCCACATGGGTCTGGGGAAGTGAGGACAGTGAGCCCCGGGCACAAGCCCAGCTGCCCAGCTCGAGGCCCCCAGAACAGAGGACAGACTCAGGCCCAGGGGCTGCGGCTGCCCAGCTCAGTGCAATGCCTACCCACGGTGCAGGCCACAAAGTAGACCCGGGAGGACTGTGCCTGGATGTCGAACCTGTGGCAGTAGGCCACCAGCAGCCCTGCAGAGAGGACGGCGAGGACGCGGCTCACCCGGGGCCCCAATGTGGCCGGCCTGGGACCGTCAAGTGTCCCAGGACCTGGGCCTGCCATGTGCCACAGCAGCTGCCCAGCATGAGAGCCACACCCAGATGCAGGGGCGCAGCGGGAGGGACAGGACCTGCCTGTCCCTGGGCAGCAGCCCCAGGCCGCCCACACCGCATGCCTGCCCTGCCAGACCCCCACCCACTATTCCCAGAGCAGCCCTGACTGTTGGGGCTGGGCTCAGGCTCCCTGTCACGGGAGGCACCAGGCCCAGCTCTGGGGATGTCCCACAGCACCGCCCTCCGGGAACCTGCCAGCCCCAGTACCTGGCACCAGGATATCTCCAAAGCCCAGGAGGGAGAAGGGCCGGTCACACAGGGCCAGTGGCGAGGCATTCAGCCTGGGCACCTTCAGGACCATGGGCAGCTGCACAGGAAGAGAAGGGAAGCCTTTCCAGGCCGGGCACCACCTGCGGCCCCAAGGCCCACACAGTCAGGTACCGTACCTTCTCACGAGTGGCCGAGTCCGAGGGCCCAGTGGCCACCTCCACCATGATGCTGTTCCCGCTCTGCAGGGGAAGGGGCGCGTCAGGGTAGGGAGGAGCGGGGCTGGGGTGGGGGTGGGCAGCGGTGCCTACCTTGGTCAGGAAGGGCGTGACGAAGACGAAGAAGACGTCGTAGACGAAGAGCACCAGCAGCAGCAGCGTGCAGGCCTGCGGGCGGGACGCCTGCGCTGCACGGCTGCCAGGCCCCGGGCTCTGCACACCCGGGACGCAGCCCTCGCAGGGAGGCAAGGAAGGGGCTGTGGCCGGGCCGCGGGCAGGGGCGGGGACAGGGGCAGGGGGCAGAGCCAAACCCGAGGCTGCAGGGGCCTGGCAGCGACAGCTCTTCGCGAGTCCCCACTCAGGGCCCCTAAGGCCACGGGCCACTCTGGAGTGGGGACCTGGCACCACCAGGGCTTGCGACGCCCAGGACCGCCCCGCCTCACCTTGAACGTGGGGAGGCGGACAGTCCTGAGCATGTAGAGGCAGAAGGCCACACCCAGCGTGTCCTGCAGGACCCACGCCCACCTGTAAGGAAGGTGCCCGGCTGACACACCTGTCCCCCACCCCCACACCAGTGCCCACAGGGCTGCACCTGGTCCCCAGCCACCAGGCAGCCAGGCAGCACACTTCCGGGAGCAGCCCCCTCCTCGCCTGGCCAGGACTGGGCTGCCCAGCTCTGCTGGGAGGCTGCTTGCAGGGGTGACGTCACAGTCTCCCCACGGGGTAGGGGGCCGTGAGGGGACCCTGCAGCTGCTACACTAGGTGCTATTTATAAGAGAGAATCTTGTGCCCAGCCAGGCTCAATATCACTCCCTGGTCCCTGGGAGAGCAATGGACTCTGGGGACAGACCTTGGGGACAAGGCATGTAGTCAGATGCCAAGGATAAAACAAGGTGGCCTCCCACTCCACCCCCTCCCATCCCATCCCAACCTCACACCCCCCACCCCACCTGCAGGCTCGCCAGCTGCCTGCAGGACCGGTTCCCCCAAGCCGAACACAATGAGATCATCTCCCCTCCGTGGCAGCTGGGGACAGCCACTACTGCACCAGGTGCAGGGACAGCAGGATTCCACTCCTGGCAGTGGGTGGCTTCCCGGCTGCATCCAACCCCTTGGCTCCCGTTCCCTTTGTCACAAAGGACTCTCGGTATCTCCGCCTCTCCCCTCTGGCACGTCAGCCTGCTGTGGCCCCGAGTGGCACTGAAGCCAGAGGTGCCTGGCTGCTTCAAGAAAAGCTCAGGGCCCTGCCAGGTGGTTTCAGGCACAGCGGTGGGAGCCGGTGGGGCCAGGCCAGCTGTCCCTGGGCCATAGCATGAGCACTCCCTGCTCAGGGAGGTGGGCTGGTGGTTGGGAAGCCAGAGAGGGAGAGGGGCCGAGGGCGGGTGTGCACAGGGCTCCCTCAGGTGGGGCACGGGGCCACGCAGGGGACGGGGGACCGAGGGTGGCTCTGGGCCAGCGCCCCCCTTCCCCTGGCTGTGCAGGAGGACAGGGTGCCTGGGGCATCTCTATCCAGGTTCCAATCAGGGCGGTGGCACCCAGCCAAACCCAGGTGAAACTGGATGCGGGGCAGGGGCGCCACAAGGGCCGCGGCTGGGCCAGGAGAGCAGAGCGGTGCCCTCAGGCTGAGGCTGAAGCGGCTCCAGCCGGGGCGGCTGCCGGAGCCGGCCTGGAGCACCTGAGGACAGGGCCCTGCGCCCAGGGCCTGCAGGGAGGAAGGACGTACTGGTCCTCGTTGCGGAAGACGCCCCACACCACGCTGACGGCGATGCAGAGGAGAGCCAGGAGCAGCATGCGGGCCTGCGGGCGCTTGTGGAAGTAGGGCAGGCTGTTGTCGGGGACCCTGGGGAGGAGCACCCGTCAGCACCAGGAACCCACCCCTCAGCCCTCCCTGCCGCCCCACCCAGACCCACTGTGCTGCAGGCCCCGTGGAGGCGCCCAGGGTCCTCCTGCCCACCTCCCGCCCTGACAGGCTCGACACCCCCTCAGGGTGACAGCACAGGAGTCCCGTGGGCGGTGCAGGGCCTGGAAGAGCGGCAGAAGCCCTCCACCCAGCCCCTCTCCTTGGGCAGTGCCCCGGGTGCCGGCCCTCCACACACGCATCCCACCCGGTCTACAGTGGCCCTCTCTGGAGCTCCTGGGCTCTGGCCCTCAGCCTGCCAGGTGCCCTGATCGGCCTGGCTGCCGCCCACTGGAGCCCCACAGGCCGAGGCCCCAGGCAGCCGGCTGAACTTGGCACCTCCCTGCCCCTCACAGTGACCCTGCAGCCTGGACACCTGTGGCCGCGTACCTAGGGCAAGGGAACCCTGTTCCTGCTGTGTCCCCCACTGCCTTGGTCCTGGTGGGCCCTGCTGACAGCCTTGTGCTGGACGGTATGCGAGGGACGCTGTCTGGGTACTGGGGACGTGAGAACCAGCACCCACCTCTCAGCCCTGCCCTGAATTGCAGAGACAGGTGGGCCCAGGCGGGAGGGGGTCCTGGCCATGGGCAGGCCAAGCATGGCACTTCAGGGGCCGGGAGGCGGACCACGATGCCTGGGGCTCACCTGCACTCGCAGAAGGGCAGCCGGCGCACGCAGGGGGCCAGGCAGCTGTAGAGGCCGGTGGAGGAGGCCAGGCAGAAGATCCCGATGATGGCATAGACTGCGGGGGCAGGGCGGTGAGGCTGGTACCCGCGCCCACCTGCCCGGGCACCCTCCGGGGCGGGCGGCGCACCCAGGTGGTCGTAGAAGTGGTAGAGCAGCACCAGCATGGAGCAGCACATGACCACGAACACGCCGATCATGACGGGCGTCACGTCCACCGCCGCCTCCTCCTGCTTCTCGGGCCCGTCGTCCCGCTTGTGTTTCATGTACCTTCTTGGAAGACCCCACGGGACACGAGGTCACCAGGGTCAGGCCCGGTGTGGGGCAGGCCAGGCTGAACCAGCTCTGACCACGGGGGCAGACCAGGGGCCCTCCCAGCCACCAGCCCTCGAGCTGGACGGTGGAGACGGCGCAGGCCCCCTGGCCAGCCGAGGCCACCTGCCACCTGAATGCGAGGGGCCACAGAACGGGGGCAGCTCCTGGGCGACAGAGGGGCATGAAAGCTCCAGGCTCCCCACACACCCCCAAGACCCTGGTGACCTCCTGGACCTGGTGGGGACAGAACTGCTCCAAGGAGCTGCAACTCAGGAGGCTCTAGGGTGGACCACCCCAGGGCCACGCTCTGCCCTGCCCTGCCCTGCCCCACCTCCATCACGTGCTGGGGCCCTGGGCACTGCGTGGGCGGGAGCTCTAGACCCCCTGGCACCTACCACCATGGCCACAGCCTGGCCTGTCCGCCCTCCCCACGCCCAACACTCCTCACTCACTTTCTCACGTCCCGGCTCCCGGCCCAGTAGCCCCCGATGGCTACGGTGCCCACGGCCATGATGAAGATGATGACCATGTTGTAGTCCAGCACCGGCTCACTGGGTGCGTACAGCGCCACCCGCACTGCTTGGCCGAAGCTCTGCCTCAGGGAACAGGCCTCGCTGACCTCGGAGGCAGCCGCCCGCCCCGCCCACCAGCAGAGCCTGGGGCAGGTGGGGCTGGGGGACCCTGCCCCGGGATCTCCCTCCCAGGCACTGACCCACCATGCTGACCCGCAGCAGCGGCCCAGGCCCCTGCCCGGCACCCTCTGCGACCCCGGGGCAGAGCGGCAGGTGCAGGCCTACCCTGAAGATGTCCAGCATGTCCCTGTGGCTGAGGAGGGCCACGGGGATGCCAATCTCCTCGTACTGTGTCTTGTTGCCTCCTGGGGGAACCTGGAGCCCGGAGGAGGGAGCACCGGTCACCCCCGCCTCAGGGCCAGACCCTGCCTGCAGGCCCAGGTCCTCAGCCAGAGCCCGGGTTTGTGGAAGGGACAGGGAGGCCAGGCTCTAGGCCCCCTGGCAAGGCCCCAGCCCCGCTCCCCTCAAGGACCCTGGCAAAGGCCCAGCGGTCACTCAGGAAGGCGGACTCCAGCTGCGTCCCTTCGCCTCGCTGTGGCCGCCCAGGCCCACAGCCCTGCTGCCCTCACAGGCTCCGCCCACCTGGTGCTGCCCCACTGCCCAGGGGGGTCCCCCCACCACACGGGGCCCAGGGCTGGCTGCTGCAGCCGAAGGAGCAGCCTTCACTGAGGAGCAGACCACCCCGCCTCAGCCACACGGCTGTCCTGGAGAGGCGCAGAGCCGGGCAGGGCAGGCCTGGGCTGTGGCCCTCTCCCCGGAGGTGACCGCTGTCCCCAGGGTGCACAGAAGGCCATACCAGCTTCTCCTTGCTGACGATGAGCAGCCCGCGCGCCCCGCTGCCCTGGGCCAGCCGCACCTTCTCATAGAAGGTGCAGTTCCCGCGGGCCACCAGTGGGATCTGGCTGCTGAAGCCGCTGGCAGGGAGGTCGCTCGGGGAGCACAGCAGCGAGGCCGTCCAGTTGCGCAGCTGCAGGAGAGACTGAGGGCGGACGAGGCCCTGAGCTGCCAGGGGGGGGCGGCCCGAGACCCCACTACGCATCCAACAGGAGGGTAGCTTTCGCCTGCCCCACCCAGGCTTCCCAGGGCCCAGCCGCGCTGTGACAGAGGGCCGCAGGAGGGACACACTGGGTTCTCCAAGAGTTCTTCTGGGGACAACAGGGCCTGGCGGGGCTTCCCAGAGGCACAGCAGAAGGCTGAAGCCCTAGGTCTGCCACCTGAAGCCCAGGCCGCGCCCGAGTCTGCCCAGAGCCAGCTGCTGCCACTGTGCACTGCAGGCAGAGGATCTCCCTGCATCTCCGGTGGCCTTGGGGGACCCCAGGCCGGGGACGGGTGCCCCCTGTGGCCCACGCAGCCCCCTTCTCTGCATTCCTGGCAAAGCAGCTGCCCTCCCGACTCAGGCTGCCAGACCTTCAGGTCCTGCCATGTGCAGGCGGCGCCTGGCACCCAGAGACTGCCCAGCCTGGGCAGCCCACACCAGCTGGTTTGTGGAAGGGACAGGACGCTCACAGCACACACTGCGCACACACAAACCTGAGCCCACAGTGCACACAGCTGGGCGCTCAACCCGTTCACGCCCACGCCCACCTGCAGGCACATCCCGAAGCTTGTGGCACACGCATACGCACACCCACAGCTCACACACACACAGAGGTGGCCACGCTTGGAGGACAGATCTGTTCCGAGGGGAGAGATGGCCGCTGAGAGGGAGACGTGTGCTTGAGGTGCGATCCATGCGCGGCGCAGGGCGTGGCTAGGAGCAAAGCCATGAGGAAACGCAGGCAGAGAGGCACGCCTGTGTCCGGGTCCCCCCATCTCCCATCAGGCCTAGGACCCTGACCCTGTCCTGGCCATGCCCAGAGCAGCAGAAAGGCCCATCTCCCAGCAGGCCTCTGGACAGCTCTCATTTACGACCAGGGAGACTGAGGCCCAGAGGGGCTCACGGAGGCTCCAGTGGCAGGCAACCCATGCCCAGGGTCTGCATCCTGCCTCTGCTGACTTGGCTTTTCCACAAACTGCTGCAGGAAGAGTGGCCACGGCATGAAAGAGGCCAACGACACCCCAGCTGGGGGTGGAGGGCCTCAGGCAGCGGCACTCACCGCCTTGCTGAGGTCCTGCGGCAGGTGGGCCCACTGGGGGTTGTAGAGGATGCAGTAGTCCTTGCCTTTGGGGGTCCCACTCTCCGGAAGCACATGCACCATGCCGTACTCACAGGCCACCTGCAGAGGGACATGGTGCCAGTCAGAGACCCACGAGGCAGAGCACCCAAGGACCTGAGGACGTCTGGGGATGCGGTGCTTGTGTGCACAAGGTGGCAGGGGACATTTCTATCCTCCTCTCAGCAGGACAGAGAAGAACACAACGGAGACACACGCACGTGCACATACACACACGTACTTTTCCTGTGGTGCTGGGACAGGAGTTAGGACGGGGAGCATGTCAGGCAAGCGCTGACCACTGAGCAACACCTGCTCCTGACGTCACACTGTAGGTGGGGGTTGGGGGAGAGCAAGGGCATGAAGGAGTCGCCTCCCCAGGCAGACCCGGGCGGCCACAGCCATCTGTGGGTCAGACCTGTAGGTCCCAGGTCTCTGCACCAACAGTGGCGCTGGGCTGGGCTCAGGGCATGTGTGAGCACCCCATGGGGCCTCCCAGGACCAGCAGGGACGGCAGGAGAGCCAAAGTCTTGGGGGAGAGGGCAGCACATCAGTTCTGTCCCCAGGCCCTGGCGGTTGCTTGTGGCCAGGGGGCAATGGCCAGGACTGTGAGGCAGGGCAGGATGTCTGACTGAGCTTCCCGCACTCCAAGAACAGTCTGCATTACAGCTGGTCAGAAGACCAGTACAAGCGGGCACTGGTCAGGACCCCTGCTCAACGTCCCTTCAGCTCCCTGGGAAAATGAGGCAAGAAGCGGACACAACCAAGGGCCCCCAGTGGGCAGGCTGGAGGCTGCACCCTGCTCCAGGCCACAGTCCTGCCACAGCCGAAAACCCGCGGGGTCTGCCAAGCCCCAGGTGACCGCCTGGCACCTGCTGACAGCAGCTGTGAACAGTGCTCAAATTAGGCAGAGGGCAGGACATGAAGAGACCCCTGAGGGTGGCCTGGTGGCCTGGGACAGAAGAGGGTCCAGCTGTGGGGAGACACCTTTGCACACAAAGCCCTGCCATGCCCTCGCCCCCTCCCTAGGGCCTCAGTCCTCCGGGTGGCTACGCGGCCTCCTGTTGCCTAGGCTCCTTCCTGGCTCACTGGGGCCCTGCCAGCATCTGACAAGGACACTCCCTCTCATGGTGACCTGTCACCTCGGGTCTGGAAAGTCGGGGTGTGGGGAGGGTGTGGCCCATGGTAGAGGGCCCTGGTGATCTGGGGAGCTCGCAGGCTGCCCCTGGCCTTCTCAGAGCTGGACACCCACACACTTGGGGCTCCTGGGCCACGCTCCTGCAGTTCCCTCCTGCCTGGCAGACACGCTTAGTGTCTCCTGGGGACGAGCCACAGAAACAAGCCGGCAGCAGGCACTGGCGATGCATGGACGGGTGCCAACCTGCCCCAGCCGTGGAGACTGGCACCGCAAGGTCCACCACACCACCAGGCCCCACAGGCCCCCAGGGCTCTGCTGAGACGAGGGTGGGGGAAGGGAAGCTCTGGCCTGGCCAGGGCCCTGATGGCTTCTTGGGAGGACCTGGGCCCCTCCACAGGGCCCACCCCATGGCCTGGGCCAACATGAGGCCCCAAGCCCCGCATCCCAAACTGCTGGCCCCGGGGCCACAAGGCCAGCTCTGGAGCTTTGCTGGTTTTGTTGTCTCAGGTGGGTGCTGGGCCCCTGGCGCCAACCATCAGTGAGATAAGGACCGTCTGCCGCACAGGCTGCTGGGTGTGTCCCAGGGCACCGCGCTGAAGCTGGACAGTGTGGCTGATGACCAGCACTCTCAGGGGAAGGGGAGGGGTGGCCTGAGGACAGCAGTTTCATTCCCCGCGCCTGGTCCCACACCCACCCAACCACCACCTCTGGTCAGTTCCGCCTGCCAAGGTTCCCTCTGAGGACACCGTCAGCATGGCCCCTGGTGTCCTGGAAGCCCTGGGCCCTCCCAACAAGCTCCCACAGCCCCTGGCATCTGTCCCAGGGTCTGTGGGCCGCGGAGGGGCCCAGAGTGTACAGCCCGGCCAGTCTGCCTTCTGCCCAGTCTGCCTGGAACAGGCAGGTCCCTGAGCACAGGTCCAAGGCTCCCCCACCACACGCGCAAAGCCAAGCAGCTGCCACGGGACCACGTGCCCCACAAAGCCAAACCCAGGGGCTCTTCCCAGGAGACAGCGCCATACCACTCTGGGGGACCGTGGCTTTCAGTGAAAAGTGTTTTTTTGTGCAAAACAGAATTAACAACTAAAACTGTTTCTCTTCAAAAAGTTCATTTAAGAACATAAAAGTGGGGCTGGGGATGTGGCTCAAGCAGTAGCACGCTCGCCTGGAATGTGTGTGGCCCGGGTTCGATCCTCAGCACCAAATACAAACAAAGATGTTGTGTCCGCCGAAAACTAAAAATAAAATAAATAAACATTTAAAAAAACACAAAAATGGGGCTAGGGCCATGGCTCAGTGGTAAAGCTCTTGCCTCACTGAGCTCGATTCTCAGCAGTGCATATAAATAAATGAATAGAATACGGTCCTCCGCCAACAACTCACACACACACACACACACACACACACACACACACACACACACGTGCATTCATGAGTTTCCCTCCTCACAGCCTGTGAGACTGAGTTTCTGTCGAAAAGCCTGTGCTCCCCTCAGCCACCAGGAAACAGGGGCCCCCTGGGAAGTTTCCCACCTGCTGCACTAAAGGGCCTCCCAGGGCAGACCCCCGTCACAGCCACCTGCACGCCTCGCAGTCAGACCTGGAAATCCCGCAGAGCCGCTGCAGAGGCACCAGAAGTATCTGACACCTCAGGGAAGGTGGGCCACAGGCCACTAAGCAGCAGACCCCACTTGTGACCTTACCCTGCACCCACTTGTCCTAACTGGAAAGAGGGATGTACTATGAATGTTCCACCTGCCCAGGGCCAGAAAACACCAGCAAGTTCAGGATTGTCACCCAGCTTCTCCACCTGAGAAGAGCTGGTCTCATTTTTGTGCACCTGGTTTCCAATGTCCTAGAAGTGACCTGTCTGGGAGCAGGACCTGGACACACCAGGGGTGGCAGCTACTGTCCTTAGCCATGCACAGCATGAAGTGCTCAGCCCTCATCCCAGCACCAAGCCTCCCATCACCTGGCCTGAGGGCCACAGGCTCTGTCCTGCCCTTACCCTCTGCCTGGGGCCACTCCCAGCCTCCCCTCCTCCCCTTCTGAGGGAGATGCCCTGGCCTCCCTCCAAGGTCCATCTGAAACACCTCCTTTGCAGAGATCTTTCTGGTGTGTGGGGGGACACTTCTCCCTGGAGCACTGAAGCAGCCTACATGCCGGGCCTGCAGCTCCCATCTCCATGCAGAGCACAGCTCACACTCCTGCTCTGGTGCCCGACACCCCTCCTCTGGCACCGTCACCTGGACAATTCCAAGCAAACACTCCCGCCTTCTGTGGTGTCCCCACAATCCTGCAGCCACCTCTCTTGCCTTCTCCTCATTCAAAATAGCTGGAGAGTGCAAAGCCCCTTCCTAAGATGGGACGCCACAGGGCACAGCCAGGGGCTGGGGAAGCAGCGGGGAGGTGGGACAAAGGCTGAAAGGATGGCGAGGCATTGCAGGGCGACAGGAAAGACAGAAGCAAAGGGCCGTCGCGCACAGGGCCACAGGGCGTGGTAAGGGATGGGGGCCGCTGGACGGCTGGCATCTGGACACGACCAGACCTGACGGGGTGAGCAGCAGTCCTGCCTGGGAGAGAGCACCCGGGAGGTGGGCGGGGGGACAAAAGCAGCCACCAGGAGAAAGGGCCAGCTGCTGGGGCTCCTGCAGGGACAGTGCTGGGCGGCGAGCGGCGGCGGAGGCCAAGGGCCAGAGCGGAAGGTCCCAGCGGCAGCCAGGAGGGGGGCGGGCCCGGAGACGGGACATCACTCTGACAGCGTGCGCCGCTAGCTCGGGGACTGTCCCCGCTGGGACCCGACCGTCAGCGGCGCGGCCGCTCCTGACCCGCACCCCAGACGCTGACGCCCCTTGGCGGACCCGCAGCCTCGGCTCCAGGCGGGGATCTCCTCCAAGGTCCAGGGTAAAAGACGGGGCAGGGGTTCGCCCCCTCCAGGGCGGGCTCTCGACTCGGCCCCGAGCTGCCCGGCTGTGGAGGCCGCGCTGGCCGCCGG